CTCTCTCTCTCTCTCTCCCTCTCTCTTCCGCAAACTCTCCACTTGTTCGAAGGCCTACAGAAAGTGCAAGCAGACATGGAAGCATTACAATAATTATTGTGCACACACAGGTCGTCCACGGAATGTCGGGTACACGGTGTTTATTCTCCTCTCAAGCACATTACACGACTAATACTTTTTTGGGTTACTTTCGGAATCCTTTCGAATATTCTCCCATCCTTCAATCGTTCGGAAATGTATCACTTTCCACTATCATCAGTGGCACTCTTTTTCAACTCTGCACACCGCATGTTCGCCTCATGAGTTTTTCAAAAAAATAAAAATCCCTCGATGTCACTGTCTTTTGCACGTTTACTGCCAGTGCAGCAGTGTACGGGTAATTACTTTTATTCTGTCTGGCACTGCACTCGACCACCCCCCTCCCTCCCCTCTCCCCCCCTCTCTCTTTCTCTCTTTTCTCTTTTTTCTCTCTCTCGTTTCTCTAGCTCTCTGTCTCCTTCTGTCTCTCCTCTCCTCTCCGTAGAGATCTAGGTGTTTTCTGCAAGTTAGAGTTGATTTCAAATGAATAAATTTTTTGAAGAATTTTTATCGACAGTGATGAGCTACGAATTTATCTAGGAATATATCACTAATTTGAATTGCTTGTATCTTCCTAAATGATATAATTTCATAATGCTGCCATGATATCTTAAGAACTTTTCAAAGACGCAACACAGAGCCGTCAGTTGTCTCTCAAAGAACAAGAACCAGATGGCTTTCGCCCACATCAGTATGAAGAGCACCACATGCATCTACGCACTAGATACATGTATTGCATTTTACAGTGCTCTCACCACCACATTATGCCCGTGCAAGTTCACCAAGACCTGGTTTTAATAAAGGAAGCATTGCCAGGGCGATCGAACAGGATCTAGACCTCTGTTATTTTTGCCGTATCTGGCCTGAATGCAGCGACTTAAAGAAAAGGAAAACAGATTTTAACACCTCACTGTTTGACTAAGAGTGAAACCCGTTCTCATTGAGCATAGCTATGACACATCGAGATAAAAACCTGCTTCGTATACCCTCTCCACACTCCACACACACACACACTCACACACACACACAAAGAACAATTCATTATAAGATCTTTCAGCGCAATCTGTCCACCACCCCCGCCCCAAATCTGACTCCCCTGTCTGTCTGTCTGTCTGTCTGTCTGTCTGTCTGTCTGTCTGTCTGTCTGTCTG